AAAATTTAGTATAAAATAACTTTGTGAGTATGTAGGTCTAAGAACAAAATTTCCCCCAGGGAGAAAAATAGTCGGTCTCAAAATAAGTGCAGTCACTGCAGTCGGTCTCAAAATTATGCATCGCCGTGGTAATAGAAAGTTGTGTATTTTACACACAAAACTTCGTCATGGGTGCAGTTCCCTCAACTCAGATCTTTTTCGGATAAATTTAATTGAAAATCCTGAATGTTCTTGTGGCGCGTCATCCGAAAACGCAAAGCACTATCTTTTGGAATGTAATTTGTTTGATATTGAAAGAAATGAACTTTTCAATTCTATACGTAGCTTCACCACCATAACCTTAAATATACTTCTTTGGGGTGATTCTAGTTTAAATACTGACATTAACATTTATATATTTAATCAAGTACAAAAATATATTAAATCAACTAAAAGGTTCAATTTATAAGTATGCGTAGTGTAGTTTCATTTTTGTTTTGTTTTTCTATTTGCACAACTGTAAAAATGTGTTGATTGTTGTTGTTGTTTATTTTTGTGTACGTAATACTACTACTTTGTGAGTTTCCCCTTCAAACTTTCAATTTCGATTTTTATTCGCAAGGGTGATTACTCATATTAAATTTCAAAAGAAGATACTAAATCCCCCAGTGAGATTCTTTGAGCATGTCGAAAAATTTACTTTCATAAACCAAATATCTAAGAATTTCTTTATAATGGGATTTTTAACTATCTATTATAACATGAATATCCTCCGTTTTTGTATGTCCTTTTCAATTGTACTATCATAACTGTCAATTACAATGTATACTATTCAAAAAAAGTAGGGGATATTTGATTTTTAAGTGTTATTAAAGTCACCTAATGAAACTGACGAAGAAACAAATGACAAAATGAAATGAAGTTTACATTCATCGATTTATTCCAAATGATCGTTAGACTAAGTAAGGCACAGACTGACCATTATAAGGGTAAAATGATACCCAGGGTCAAACAGCAAAGTTACCACAGCATCACAACCAAGTCAGTAACGGGTAAATCCTCCTCTGTTTGCCAAACAAGCATTGATCCGACGTGGCATACTCCTAATGAGACGTCTAAGGTCATTTTGGTCCAGATTGTCCCATTCCTGTTGCAACGCAGCAGCAAGTTCTTGGACATTGGCAGGACGTTGTTGACGTTGACGTAACCTCTGTCCAAGCATGGGGGAGAGATCGGGACTCAGTGCTGGCCAAGGTAATGTGGTGATGTTCTGTTGTTGGAGGTAACCTGTAACGATCCTGGCCCTGTGACATCCTGCGTTGTCATCCTGGAAGATGAAACGGCGGCCATGACGTCGTGCGAACGGCACAACATGGACTGCCAAGATGTTGTCCCGGTAGTACTGGCCTGTAACACGCCCTGCAACAACATGTAAAGCCGTTCTTCCAGCAACAGTGATGCCTCCCCACACCATAACAGAACCACCCCCAAATCGATCATGTCTGATGACGTTAACGTCTTGGAAGCGCTCGTTTCGACGATGCCACACCCTCCTACGTCTGTCCAAAAAATCAACAGTGAACCTTGACTCATCTGAAAACATCACATTGCTCCAGCGTCGATTATCCCAGTGTTGACGATCCCTACACCAACGACGTCTTGCCTGAATGTGATGATCTCTCAAACAAGGGATCACGCGAGGACGTCGGGCGCGAAGGTGACCCCTATGCAGTCGATTCCGAATCGTCTGGCCACTCACTCTCACACCAGTGTCTGTTTGAAGACGAGCGCTGATCTGATTTGCTGTGATGACACGATTTCTCAAGGCCAAGGTACGGATAAATCGATCCTGGGCTTGAGTTGTCGCCCTTGGTCGACCTGAGCGTGGTCTGTCCTGTACAGATTGTGTATCACGGTATCTGGACCATAGCCTGCTTATGACAGACTGAGAAACATTCATCGTCCGCGCCACAACCGCCTGTGTTGTGCCGATCTGTAGCATGCCAAGGGCACGTAACCTTTCATTTTGGGTAAGCCGACGCATATCAAAATTTGTTTTCTGGTCACTAAAACAATTAAACTGATGTTTCCACCCTGGAATTCAATGCCACAATGACTGTAACATTCAAAGTCAGAGTCGTGCAAATCTTGGGTTGGACCCCCATGATGATCCCAAGCATCACCTGCATTCCATGCGGTAGCTATTGGTGCGTTTGGGCGTCACATGTAACTGGAAATGTTTCTTCTGTTAGGTTCTATAGTGACTTTTTTCGTAGTCATTTCCATATTTTAGTATTATGCCCCCAAAATCAAATATCCCCTACTTTTTTTGAATAGTATATGTGGAGAGGGCATCGGTAAGTTTTCGTAACTTTTGTCCCAATCCTTTTGTACTTTATTTATGTTCTATAGTACAATAAACTATGTTTAAACAAACAAACAAAAAAAATAATGCCAGAATAGATCCCAAATACTAGTCGGTCGCAAAATCAGTGCAGTCGGTCGTAAGATTTGAGCAGTCGGTATCAAAATAAGTGCTCACTGCACACGTCACGCTACTAACGCAAAACTTTAGTATAAAATAACCTTGTCAACTTATCATGTTTGAAAAAAATGTTTTTCACCCCATGGCAAAAAAATATTCGGTCTCAAAAAAAAAGTGCTCACCGCAGTCGGTCTCAGACTAAATGAATTAATGGGGTGTTTTCTGACCACCAGAATTCTGCAAAATCTCTCCCCAAAGTCCAGGGCATTTCAGAGACCAAGTAAGTGCCCAATTGAGGTAAAGTGCCCTCAGGCCCAGTCCTCAAAAATTAAAAGCTCAGTTACATATCTGCGCTCAGTTCCATTATGCCATCATTCTTCAACTCCTTCTCTGTCTTATACTATCTCATCAATATCATATTCACAGTTACAGTGAATTGCCCAGTTGGTAGTACCACTAATGAGTCGTGGGTCAAAAGACTGTAGAATTGTTAGTTCTACTCTCACAACACAGGCGACATTGACAGATAGGCCTCAAGATTCTGTCCCATTTCTTATCCTCTCATTAACGAGGATCCATTTGCCATGACATTGACTAAAATTGTCAGGCCCAGTCCCAAAAATTAAAAGCTCGGTTACACATCTAAAAAATTTTCGAGCCTGCGGCGCTCGATTCCATTATAACATCATTCTTCCACTCCTCTGTTGTCTTATACTGTCTCAGCACTATCATATTCCGGTTATAGTGAACTGCCCAGTTATATTAGTAGTACCACTGGTGTGTGGGTCGTGGGGCGTCAGACTATACAATAGTTCTGTCAACTCTTGCAAAACAGGCGGAATTGACAGGGGCAGATCTCGAGATTTTGTCTAATTGATTCACATTTCTGGTCCTCTCGTCCACAAGAATTTCTCCCAGCAATGACCTCAAATGCCAAGATATTGACTCAATTTTTCAAAATTTTCTCAGGTTGCTCAGTGTTATAGGCACAACCATATATATGACATAAACTTTATGTCAACTTAAATAAAACTGCTTTCCGGCGAGACAACGATCGGCAAACAACTATATAATTATACAATATCATCTATGTTCTACCGGAACACTTAATGTTATAGCCAGTATTTTGTTGACATTCATTGTGGGGTGGGATTGTGGCTAGGGTGGCGCCCTAGATTTGCCCCCCCCCCACCCCTATCTAGATCCGCTACTGCACATGGCCCCTACAAAACTTGCACCTGTGGTGCTCGGCTCCTGACTGCGTCACTCGTACTAGGGGTATGGGAATCAGTCGGTCGCATTTTGGCTAAACACCCCCCCCCCCCCCCAAACAAAATCGTTATGTACGCCCCTGATGCCCCTATATTCAAGCCAATTGTTACACGAAGGAGTAAATATCAGAAAAAATAAAGGAACGAAAATTGTAATCTTATTTAATTAGATTGATAAATGTCGCTATATGTTTTTTGCTTTTCTTTCAGGAATAACTTCAGACTTCCAATTTTATCTTCTCGTTTTATTTTTATCCATGGATTTTGTTTCCAACGATTTCCTTAAAACAAAGCATCTTGATCAATGGGTGCTTGTGTCTTGTTAAACGTGTCTAAACAATTTTTATGCGATGTTGCAAAGGTTCTAGCTTTGGTATTTATTGATAATATTTCTTTTCTCTAAGATCAGTTGACAGGTAGATAAATGGTTTAAATGAATATCCACCTTATGTACAAGTTGTAATCCAGCTTTAACAACGAATGTCGACCATAATAAATCATTCCAATTTAGTACCAATGTCTATAATGCATTAGTGGCCATTACCTTTTTTAATATGAAGCCAATATCCCAAGTTTATATCGATATGTTTATATCGGTATCCAGCACACCAATTAATGACGGTAATTATATCGATACAAGAAAGATGTTTTTCGGAAAGAGAAGCAGATGAGCGGCATTATTTTATACACATGTAATATATTAATGATGATCACCACAGACAAAAACCAACCCACTAGCTAATTTAATTAAATAAATCACTCCCTGGGCCGTGGTGACCCATGATTTTGCATGAGGAACAAAAATCCCGTCCGGGCTCCCAAAAAACAATATTTATATTATGTGTGGTGGGGTGGCAGTTTTTATTATTAATTTTCCATTCTTGTTATAGTGACAAAACTGAAATCCAATCCGAAGCCGATGTGAAGTCCACAGAGAAACATTCCAAGACACTAAAAACTTGGGAGCGAAATGAAATGGGTTTAACTTTCTGCCTTTGTGCACCAACTGGGCCAATACAAACATGATATAGGCGCTACCTGGTGTACGAAAGTGCGGTAGCGCCGTGATATAGAGAAAATTTTGCCCGGACAACCCGAAAAATAAACTCTACTGCATGGCGCTTCAATTGTTTTCGCGGGCGGGGGGGGGGGGGGAGGCATCCCTTTTTTTAAACGTTCCATTCCACACTGTGGTTGCCAGAGCAAACGGCCGGTTGAACAAATTTTCGATAACAGAACTATCGGTAACTGATTTATTTGTAATACAAAAATAGCCATTACACGCATTTATCATCACATACAAATTCCCCCCATGTATAACGAGATATGCTGGGGTTTCACTGAATGGAAGATTCCAACGTCTTGGCGGTAGCGCGTGCAGTCAGTAAATGGCATTACCATTCTAGCAGTAGAAGTGGATATTACGGCTGTGATAGCAAAATGTAACGTACAGAACTCTACACTTTGTTTAACGTGGGAAGGGAATATAGTTCAAAACTCTGTGTTCCGTAGATATGTGATTAAACTTTGTTTGATTTATGGAATAAATCAAAATTCTGCGAGGTATTTGTAGTAAGGGTTTACTTGATTAGCTTGTGTAGAATATTCCACAGTTTTCAGCGGCGTACGGGGTTTTCAAAGGATATACCAGAGAAGTACTACCTGTTATAATTCTTATGGATGTATTAACTAACACTTTGCTTTGAATATGGATCAGATTTCTATGCGTTTATATAGCAGGAGTGAAATAACAGAAGTGTAACGACTTGTACTAATAATAAAAGTTATGTTTAAACAGTTTCCAAGGAACTGAAGTGCCAATCTTTAACACACGATGGGTAAACGAGCTAGTAAATTGAAACCCGAAGAAATTGAGGAGTTGCAAAAAACTACCTATTGTAAGTATACAACGAAGAAATAACTTGAAACATATATTTTTTACCAAAAATAGCATGCTTTGGTTAAGGTGAAATTAAACGCTTTAAAAATGGGAAATGAAGGCAGATTATTTTTATTCATCACAAGGATGTTGTTTGCATCAAAAGCCAGAAAAAATACTAGGAAAAATTTAAGTTGCCAGTTGCCAGTTGGAGATACATCAAAAGAAGCGTTTTCGGACATTTGTCATTTGACAAGTTAAATGTATTCATCATGAAGATAAGATAAGATTTTTATTCAATATTGCACCGAAACATCCATTAAGGACATACAATATAAACATTTTTACATAAATAACGATCAGTAACATGAAAAATAATAAAAAAAATTTTTACAAACAAAATAATGATACTTTTTTAATCTAGCCTAAATTTACTAACAAGACAAACAGTATATATAATATGTGCACATTTACCTCAAAAAGGCCAATAAATGACCATAAAGGAGTGTTATTTTTTGGAAAGTGGATAAACAACCGGATTCGGTTCCTTACGAAAATTTACAACGAAACTGGATATCGTCTCTGATTCGGTTCCTTACAAAAATATACTACGAAACTGGATATCGTCTCTGATTGGCCAAACTAACCCTAACCCTAAATAAAGGAACCGTACCCGTGTAATTGTGGTCTCTTTCCGGTACTTTTTGATTTAAATGTTCTTCCACCAGAATTGCAGGCAAAAATTAACGAGTAATAAAGAATTTCTGGGTTATCTGGAATGTTAATTCCTCGCTTTCTTGCATTTTCTAATGTCCGCGTATCTCTTCGCCAATATATCACTTTATTCTTAAATTCAAATTTTTTTTTTTTGCCTCTAAAAGTGAATTTAGAGTCGGAAATTCAGCACCAACAAGGATGCCTGTAGAGGCCGCCATATTGGAAAAGACTGCTAATAACCACATGATAAAATTGGCCAATTTGAGACGATATCCGGTTTCGTAGTAAATTTTCGTCAGGAACCGAATCCGGTCGTTTATCCACTTCCTATTTTTTCCGTGTCCTTTGGTTGGTTTCCTCCCACTGCTAAAAACCTTTACATGCTCTCACCAGCTGATTTTTAAGTAATGCATCCAGACAGCTTGATATATACATTGTATAAATGTAAATAGAATTGGGCGATATCCCTGGAATCAGACATCGCGATATTTTATACAATATCAATAAATTCAGTTTATCACTTTTTAAATGTAAAAAACAACATTGGAAATACCCCCGGAGTATTTATTTGACACTTTCTAGTCAATGTTATTAAAAGTTTTTAGCATTAATACAATACCGTATTTACAAACAAAATTTAATGAGCTGGTTCAAACACAGATCTCTTAAGCCATGAAAACTTGCTAAATATATTGGTCTATGTTGTTTATTACAATTTTAATTTCCAGTATATTAATTATGATATTTTATTTAAATTAAGAATATTTACATGAATGAGGCACAAAAAAAAAGTTTGTGTTCTTTCGGCCGTGCATGTTTTTTTATAACTACGGGTACGATTGAATGCTAATTATATACCCAAGCAAACACATTTTTTCTTATTCAAGTGCATACCATCTTGAAAATGCATTATGCAATGCAAAAATACAAAAATTATACTATAAAACGTAAGTAAATGTCAAAAAATGTCAATTGATTTAGTCAAATACATTTTTCTGGATCACGGACCACCATGACACGTCCAACTTTGAGTCTGAATGATAATCAATCTACCGGAACTCTCAATATAGTAGTTGGCATTATTTATATTTCTGCTTTATTAAGCTCTAGCTAACTTTGGCATAAATATTCGGCATTAGCTAACTTTGTGAAATGAACACTCAGGAGTTTATAACGGTATTTATTGCTATTTATTCATAATTAAGAAATAAAATATTGTAAATAACATAAAAAAAGAAGGCATTTTTTCAATATTTATGTTAAATATCATCCAGAAAAATCAATCGCGGTATGTTCGTTTTTTCAATATTTTTCTGAAGACGGTATTTTTGACGGCTTTTATTTCTGTGACGGTTTTATATCGAAAAACCGAAATATCGCCCAGCTGTATATGTAAGTTATCCAAACCAGAAGAGTATGATGATCACAAGAACTATAAGCAAAAGCAACTTAATTCCGCTCCATATATTACATCGTAGACAAGGTAGTGGATGCCAGCAATTTAAACCAATCTGATCAGACCACAAAGATAGCCAGCTTGGGAAATAAGGCCTTCAGGTCATATTCCTGAAGTAATAGCCCGAGAAATCCCTCTCTAGCCATTGCTGTACTGAGGCTGAAATATTGGGTTTGCGACCGTCCAATCGAGGGAATTTTCACGACTGACCACTTAATAGGAGTGACCTCTTAAAGATACATTATGGAAGATTAGATAAAGAGCTGGCAGTTCTCACTATGATAGATAAAAACTAGTCTCATGTGAATGGCAATCTTTAGCGTCTGGTTTTTCCAGTCTACACCGATGGTATTTATTGCGCATGCTCTCCAGATAAGAATATAGCGTCACCATTTGACATGACTTGTGGAATATGTCTGGCCCTGTTCTTTGAGTCCCCTGTTCCAAATGGCGCTGAAACGCATTATGGTACACGATTCGTGTACCAATGGTAAAATGTTTATTTTGTCTTGAATATTGGATATCAGAAGCCCACCTTTCCCTGTAAGATCACAAGATCAATGTTGATTTGAATTGACAAATAATTTGTGTTTTCAATGTCGAAGATTTTTGATGATATTGAGTTAGAGACTTAGCTACTTTAAGTTAAGTTCACAGTTTTGGGTTGTTTTTTTTTGCACTTTTGCATTCGGATGACAAATTAAGGTAGCCTTATAATCTTTTATCCAATTTAACTTGAGTATCTAAACCAGTAGTCAAAAATTAGTGTAATGGTATCACTAACTGGCAACTCGACTGTTATCTGCCAGTTTAGTGTGTGCAAGCTTAAGTGAGGGAGCGTTTGTTATTTTTTGATCAAATGGTTAGGCAGTTTTGGGAACATTGAGGGGTGTCAACGTACAAAAGACTCTGCAATTAAACGGCGGGAAAAGAAGTTGACAGAAATAATTAAGAATTTACTTAGGCCTCAATATGTGTAAATGTTCAGTAAGTAATAGTTATTAGCATACATTCTGAAAAATGGACCCTCCCATAATGAAGCTAAGTTCATAGACGTTGCGTCTAACAACAGCTTATTTATAGCTATACATGTAGGTATCCCCGGCGAATACAAAGTTTTGGGAGGGAATTGAAGCAAATTTTTGATAGATTGGTTACTTTGAATATGTTTGTAGTCCAAATATATCATATCACAAAGTTTGTATGGGGGAATGTATCTTAAGTATCTAACCAGTAATCAAAAATTAGTGTGTACTGATTGATGCCAAGATGCATTTATTTCTGTTGATTATGTTCCTTATTGCTTTCAGGTTCGAGTAGCGTCTAATTATGTTTGAGGATACATATTTGTTGAATCATTAATGCAATTATTTCTAATGGTATATAGCTTTTTTGTGCTATTTGGTTGTAGGGCCTATGTATTACCCATTTCTGTTCGCCAACATTTTAATGTATCACATATGGCAGTCATCCTGTCTATCCCCCTATCAAATTGAAATGAAGAATCCTATTGATTTTCAACATTTGTCAGTAATCACAACTAGAGTTATGCCCCTTTGCTATGACATCATGTGTAAAGGCTTCAATTATGATTAAACCTTTTTTGAAATTTATATTTGTTGAATGCTATTAATGTTTTCGGAGATTCTATCCAGATTATCCCCCTTATTGTTAAAATTGTTTGACGATATAACTCATGATATTAACTGGCAGACTATCACTATTAATGATTAGTCGCATTATTTCTTTTACAGCTTTTTTGGGAATCGTTTTTATACGCCCACACTTTCATGTGGACGTATATTGTTGTCGCCCCTGTATGTCTGGACGTCCGTCCACAATTTGTTTGTGGACACTCTACAGGTCACAATTCTTATCCGATTTTGACGAAACTTGTAATATAGGTTTATCTCAATAAGATCTCGGTTGCTTTCGATATTGGCATGTATCGGATCGAAACTTCATGGATTATGGCCCCTGTTTGTACGAAAAATCACTTTTTTAGCTTGTGGACCCTATAGAGGTCACAATTTTTATACGCCCACATTTTTATGTGGACGTATTATGCCGTCGCCCCTGTCCGTCCGTCCACAATTGTTTGTGGACTCTCTACAGGTCACAATTCTTATCCGATTTCGACGAAACTTGAAATATAGGTTTATCCCCAACAGATCTCGGCTGCTTTCGATATTGGCATGTATCGGATCGAAACTTCATGGATTATGGCCCCTGTTTGTACGAAAAATCACGTTTTTAGCTTGTGGACCCTATAGAGGTCACAATTTTTATCCGATTTAAAAAAACGTATTATTATATCACCGTTACACCCTAAAAACAGCTGAGGTCGAATTTCATGAAAATCTGCCCAAAATTGACAGACAAAATGCCCGCCGTTTGTTCTCAAATAGCGTAAAAATATGGTATATCAAGGTTGTGGACCCTATAGAGGTCACAATTTAGATCCGATTTTGATGAAACTTGAAATACATATTTATAACCCAAAGATCTTGGTTCCTGTCGATATTCTCACATATTGGATCATAACTTCCTGAATTATGGCCCTTGATTGTATGAAAAGTCGCGTTTTTAGGATGTGATCCCTCTAGATGTCACAATTTTTATCCGATTTTAAAAAACGTTTGAATATATCACTGTTAAACCCTTATGATGGTTGAGTCCGAATTTCGTACAAATCGGACCAAAACTGACGGACAAAATGGCTGCCCCTTGTACGCAAATAATGTAAATATATGGTATATCAAGGTTTTGGACCCTCTAGAGAGTGGACACAATTTTGATCCGATTTTGATGTAACTTGAAATACATGTTTATAACCCAAAGATCTT